ACTGCTATTCAGTATATAACAGTGAAAAAAGTGTTTTGTTTTTTTAAATCCAAGCTTTGTGTCACCAGATCTAATTGGTGGCACTGGTCAGCGTATCCACTGTTAGCGTAGCACACCCGCTTTAAGGACACTGACTGCTATTCAATCTATAACAGTGAAAAAAGTGTTTTTAAATACAAGCTTTGTGTCACCAGATCTAAGTGGTGGCACTGGTCACCGTATCCACTGTTAGCGTAACACACCCGCTTTAAGGACACTGACTGCTATTCAATCTATAACAGTGAAAAAAGTGTTTTTTGTTTTTTAATACAAGCTTTGTGTCACCAGATCTAAGTGGTGGTGTTGTAGAATTATTAGGCCTCTATAAATCTGTAAGGCCCCTTTAAATCCTCTTGCTATACCTCTAAGAGGCCCCCATAGTTTTACAAGAAAGCCTTGTCTATAGAACATAGAATTTGCATGTCAGCAAGAAATAGCTTTGATAAAATGTGTATTTACTAAAAGCCTTGAAACCTAACCTTGAGAAACTAACAAGTGCCAGCTACGCTCTAAATGGATAGCTGCCAAAAGGCCCCTCCCGTCGAGTGAGCTCCTCATGTTAGCAAAATGGCGCTAAAACCTGGAGGAGTTAAAAATTACGTGGATAGTGACCTAAGAATGGGGAGGGCATTTTACTAACATCTTAGCACCTAAGCCAATTAACAATGTCTATTTGTCTATATCTTGATTTTCTTCAATGATGTAATAATGCCTTTACAAGGGTCTGCGCACCCATTTTCTGTCAGAAGCCATTAAACTTCTCCGAAGTTCTTTCATTACCCTGGACTTTGTGTCTCAGTGTGAATTTACTTCTGCGTGCACGCAACTTTGTTATCTTTAATTTGGACAGGAACAGATAGTCATTCAAACTAATTGGTTTGCAGTAAATTATCTACTACAATTGGTGCTTCCAACGTGGGGCTCTGGGTTATGTCCTGCCTGGGCAGCCGTCCAAGAAGACGCGGGGAGGGTGAATCCTGGGGGAAGCCTGATCACCTCTGAATACACGGTAGAGATTGCTGCAGCACCTAGCCGGTATGTTCCTACCCCTGTGATTGACCTGTCCCAGTGTCTGTGACTGCTGCCGAGAGGACATCAAAGTCAGGTAATAACTTGCCCAGAGTCTTTGTATTGTTAATGATACTTAATTTACCTGCATGTTGACTATCTGTTGCCTGGGTGTGTTTGTATTGGTTTGTGTTTAACTTAGTACCCGGGGAGTGTAAGTGCCTGTTTAACTCCTTTTAGGTACCACGTGACTGTGGTAGTAAGGAAAAAGGGGGGTGGACCTGTGGAAGTTTTCCTGGGGGTCCTCTATTGCCTGTTTAACTCTTTTAGGAGCCACGTGGCTGTGGCTGTAAGGAAAAAGAGTAGGGGGAATCTGTGGAGGGTGTAGACTCACTGCTTTCTGGGGGTTCCCCATAGTGTCATTTTGACCGCTTAGCTAGCCTCATCGGACACTTCTTCTTGGTAAAATTCCAGCCTCGAGCGCTGAGGCAGGTAAGATTCCAATTCTTTAGGCTATACAGGATTCGGGTTGGAAGCTGTTGCTGTTTCCTGTGGCTGCTGGTAGTGAGACTTGCGGGTCATTCTCCGCAACAGGGACACTACGAGGTTGAGGGAGGTGGCTTTTGGCCACACGAGTAAAGGCAAGGGATAAAACTGTTGAACTTATTTGAACTGTGATGCATGCACTGTATTTACACTGAAATGCTATTGTCTTAATTGTCTGTCACACAGATTCCTGTGTTTACTTTTATCTTACTCACTGTACTATTTACACTTTCCCCTCCTATTTCTCTTTCTCTGTTGAGAGAAGTGATTGGTCACACACTTCTCGCCACGCTCCAATCCGCGGCTACCACGGGTAGGCGGAATCAGTGACTAGTCTACGTTTTGGGAAGACGTACTTAAAGAGCTTGCTCTTAAAGTAGCAGTCGAGCACGGTAGACGTTCTGTTCCTTTCTCTCTCTATATCTGGGACGCCTTATATAGGGAGGATGGGACAGAAGTTAGATAAACCCAGTAAGGGTTGGTTAGCATGTGATCTAGTGGAAGACAGAGAAGGAGAAGAGATGGTTAAGAAAGTGAGGAAGATTGCTAAAGTATGTGGAATTACCGTACCTCCATGCGGCAGATTGCAGCCAGAGAGCTGGCGTAAGTTACTGATAGAGAAGAAAGGGGAAGCTGTCGGACCACGATTTGGTTTGAACAGCAGAAGCCTGGTACCGAGTAGCAAGAGCTATTCAGCAAAAGGGATAGGTTGAGGAAGAAATTGATCACAAAGGTTTAAGATTGTTTGTGTATTATAATAATTGTGTTACTGGATGCTGATGGATCCCTATTCCCCCCCCCATCAGTCCTACAGATCTCGTCACCCTCATCCTCTCTCTGCAGCTCCCTGCACCTCCAGTCCGTTTCTTCCGTCAAAGATTTCTGGTTTCCAAACGTATAAGTCTCTGTCCTTCTGTCTTGTTACTTTACAGCACTCACATGGTTAATCTTCATGCCTGCAGTCTCTCCCTTTTTGCACTGTCTCACATTCTCCCCCCCCACCCCCCTCCTCCCCGCCTACATTTCCGGGAGCTACTGATAAGAGTTAGAGACGGGATTTTTGCTGGAAAATATTCTAATTCAAAGGTTATGGTGTTATAATTGGGATGAGATAATGAGATCTGTTGGACACGAATATAAGAGCATAACAGCTGATTATCCAGATTAATCTTGCAACAAGGGCAATAGCCAAATAATGCAAGTTATTTTAAACATTGTATCTTTGCTTAATCGAATCTTGCTAGTTACAGATCGTATGTTTACAGTAACATCCTTTACGTTAAATGATGGTTTAGCATTAGAAGGATTAGTGACATGTTTTATTAACCCAGCCACTACTGGTTGTTTATTTTAGTTACAGGGTGGTATAATTGTTATAGTCTAATTAATATAAATGATAGTACCGCAATAGTTAATGTTTTATCCAAAGACATTTAGGAACTTTACTTCACTTACTATTAACCATTATTTATAATGATAGACATGTTCAGACTGCAAAAAGCTATGGCTAATGACATAGAAAGGGGTTTGAGTCAGTAACACAGCCCATACAGAGGAGAGCAAACCCGCTGATGCTTAATGCCCCTGCCATGGCAGTGTCTACAGGGAACAAGGGGGGCCACTAGCCACTGTAACTTTACCTACTTTCCTGGTTTCCTGGTTAACACAGGTGCGTCCCGCAGTTTTCCTAGAGAACAAGACCTGCCTGACTCATCGTTCCTGCCTGACACCGATGTCTCTTGTGTTGGTGCTGATGTCCTATCCCGCCTCCAAGCATCCATCACCCTCACTGCAGACGGCCAGGTTCAATTAAATACACTGTTGTCACGAAAAGACACTACAGTTCTTTGTTCCCTTCCCATTTTACTGTGGAGATGATCTACCCACAACAGAACAATGCTCAATTAATCTTCTTTACTATCTAGCAGAACAAGGATGTGAAGCTTCACGTCTCAAGCTGCAATTCTGCCAACCTACTGTTATCTTCCTTGGCCATTGTCTGTCTCAGGGAACCAGACATCTCACTCGTGACCGAGTTAGAGCAGTACTGGACATTCCACCTCCAAGGACCTCAAAGTCACTACACGCCTTCCTAGGCCTCATTTCCTATTGCCGAGCATGGATCCCTGAAGCCTCGCTCCTTATGCAACCTCTTTATGATGCTCTCAAGTCAGACCCATTTTGCTTGTCCACAGAAGCCCTTGACAACTTCTGTTCTCTCAAACGTGCTATTGCTTCTGCTCCTGCTCTTGGCCTACCAGACTATACCAAACCCTTCAAATTGTTTGTTTCTGAAAGACAAGGCCATGCAACAGGAGTACTCACTCAGGCCCATGGTCCTGGAGGCCGCCAAAGGCCTATTGGATTTTTCTCCTGCCAACTGGATATTGTGGCCAGAGGACGTCCCTCTTGCCTTCGGGCCGTCTTTGCTGCCAGAGAGCTCATTGAAAGAACTGGGGATCTTGTCCTTGGCCACCCCCTGGTTGTCTTGGCCCCTCATGACATTTCTGCCATAGTCAACCAGGTCCAACTTAAGCATGTTACTCCTGCTAGGCATCTTCGCCTTCAATGTCATCTTTTGTTGCCTGACCACATTACCCTTCAAAGATGTCAAGTTCTCAATCCGTCCACTCTTCTGCCACTCCCTGAGGGGGGTGTATACTACGGATTCATCATGGACGAAACTTATGTTTTTCTTCTCACTGGCACCATCAAGAAGGAAATGCATCCCAACCTATCCTTTCATGATGGACAAGCACTCCTTCATGACGGAGCAGGATATGCCTTCTGTACCATGTGGTACAAACCAAACATCACTCCTGAACCCTGCTATGAAGATGAACTCTATCATCTGGTCGAAGTAAAACTCACTGCACAAGACTTCTACTGTGATTCTGAAGGCAACAGTATGGTCTTGATTCATCTACCTCCGGAACTCAAGCATTTGTACCGTCATTGGGACACTGCCATTCCACATTTACATAGATGCCATTGGGGTGCCTAGGGGGGTACCTAATGAATTTAAAGCTAGAGATGAAGTAGCTGCAGGTTTTGAATCACTTTTTACCATAGTCACTGCCAACAAAAACCTTAATTGGATTAATTATATCTATTACAACCAACAGCGCTTCGTGAACTACACCAGGGATGCCCTCCAGGGCTTGGCCGAGCAATTACAGGCCACATCCCAAATGACCTTCCAGAACAGACTGGCCTTAGACATGATCTTAGCCGAAAAAGGGGGGGTCTGTAAAATACTTCCCGACACTATGACTTGTTGCACTTACATCCCAGAAAACACAGGTCCTAATGGTAAAGTCACTCTGGCCATAGCTAAATTAAATAGACTCTCAGAAGAGTTAAAGAGAAACTCTGGAGTTACTGATCCCTGGGAAAAATGGTTTGGTTGGATGACTGGTTGGCAGAGAGCTTTAGTCCAGATTGGTATTGCCTTACTAATTTTTCTTTTTATTCTCGCTCTTCTCATTTGTTGTGTCCTCCCATGCCTAAGGAAATTCCTGCAGAAAACTGTAGACCAAGCAACACCAACCTTCACTCATCTGACAATCGATGATCAAGATCTCACCTCACCCTGTATTCCGCTACAAACTCTCCCTTATACTGATGAAGTGCAGAAAGTCTAGGAAGGGACAGTACAGGGACAGCGTCCGTCTTTATGGGTAGACTGCCGTACGGAGAAGTAGTGGATAAGCCACTATGGGTTACCAGCGGAGTGAAGAGTGTTCCTGAACCGTACTGACGGATGTGCTGCAGCCTGTTAGGGTCAAGAGAGGGATAGACTTGCACTTTGCATTAACACTAAGTCAGCGGTCATGGGGTTTCTGTGTCTTTGGGCTAACACATATTCTGATACTAACAAATAAAGTTTGTCTTTTAGCAAATAACATTTTAGGGGGGACTGTTGTAGAATTATTAGGCCTCTATAAATCTGTAAGGCCCCTTTAAATCCTCTTGCTATACCTCTAAGAGGCCCCCATAGTTTTACAAGAAAGCCTTGTCTATAGAACATAGAATTTGCATGTCAGCAAGAAATAGCTTTGATAAAATGTGTATTTACTAAAAGCCTTGAAACCTAACCTTGAGAAACTAACAAGTGCCAGCTACGCTCTAAATGGATAGCTGCCAAAAGGCCCCTCCCGTCGAGTGAGCTCCTCATGTTAGCAAAATGGCGCTAAAACCTGGAGGAGTTAAAAATTACGTGGATAGTGACCTAAGAATGGGGAGGGCATTTTACTAACATCTTAGCACCTAAGCCAATTAACAATGCCTATTTGTCTATATCTTGATTTTCTTCAATGATGTAATAATGCCTTTAAAAGGGTCTGCGCACCCATTTTCTGTCAGAAGCCATTAAACTTCTCCGAAGTTCTTTCATTACCCTGGACTTTGTGTCTCAGTGTGAATTTACTTCTGCGTGCACGCAACTTTGTTATCTTTAATTTGGACAGGAACAGATAGTCATTCAAACTAATTGGTTTGCAGTAAATTATCTACTACAGTGGCACTGGTCACCGTATCCACTGTTAGCGTAACACACCCGCTTTAAGGACACTGACTGCTATTCAATCTATAACAGTGAAAAAAGTGTTTTTGGTTTTTTAAATACAAGCTTTGTGTCACCAGATCTAAGTGGTGGCAATGGTCACCGTATCCACTGTTAGCGTAACACACCCGCTTTAAGGACACTGACTGCTATTCAATCTATAACAGTGAAAAATGTTTTTTGTTTTTAAATCCAAGCTTTGTGTCACCAGATCTAAGTGGTGGCACTGGTCACCGTATCCACTGTTAGCGTAACACACCGCTTTAAGGACACTGACTGCTATTCAATCTATAACAGTGAAAAAAGTTTTTGTTTTTAAATCCAAGCTTTGTGTCACCAGATCTAAGTGGTGGCAATGGTCACCGTATCCACTGTTAGCGTAACACACCCGCTTTAAGGACACTGACCGCTATTCAATCTATAACAGTGAAAAAAGTGTTTGTTTTTTTAAATCCAAGCTTTGTGTCACCAGATCTAAGTGGTGGCACTGGTCACCGTATCCACTGTTAGCGTAACACACCCGCTTTAAGGACACTGACTGCTATTCAATCTATAACAGTGAAAACAGTGTTTTGTTTTTTTAAATCCAAGCTTTGTGTCACCAGATCTAAGTGGTGGCACTGACTGGGGAAATGGGCACAGTATGCACTATGAGCCTGACACAGAAGCTGGCAGCAGTGGCAGACAACTGACTGCTATTCAATCTATAACAGTGAAAAAAGTGTTGTTTTTTTTAAATCCAAGCTTTGTGTCACCAGATCTAAGTGGTGGCAATGGGCACAGTATGCACTGTGAGCCTGACACAGAAGCTAGCAGCAGTGGCAGACAACTGACTGCTATTCAATCTATAACAGTGAAAAAAGTTTTTTGTTTTTAAATCCAAGCTATTGTGACACCAGATGTAAGTGGTGGCACTGACTGGGAAAATGGGCACAGTATGCACTGTGAGCCTGACACAGAAGCTGGCAGCAGTGGCAGACAACTAAGTGCAATTACATTACATAGAAAAAATAAATTAAAAAAAGCATACCCTTATCCCTAACCTAGCTATGCTTTTCCCTATCTTATGAACAGCAGCAACACTTTCCCTCCTCTTACTAAGCATGCAGCTTGAGAATGAATCTAAAATGGATGCCTTCCAGGAGGTGGGAGGGTCTGCTAGGGAGGGTGTGCTGCTAATTGGCTGGAATGTGTCTGCTGACTGTGAGGTACAGGGTCAAAGTTTACTCAATGATGACGAATAGGGGGCGGGTCGAACCACGCATATGTTCACCCGCCGTGGCGAACGCGAACATGCTATGTTCGCCGGGAACCGTTCGCTGGCGAACCGTTCGGTACATCACTACTTGTAACCTGAAACTTTAGAATATAGTTTTATTTCCTCCAATAACTCTGGAACCGGAGTTTCTGGATCTTCTAATGTGAGTAAGATATCATCTGCATATATATTGAGCTTTGATTGTCCAGCCTTGTTAGTAAATCCCTTTATTATCTTGTTTTGTCTTACTGCGATTGCCAAGGTTCTACAATAGTGGAGACAGTGGGCATCCTTGTCTTGTCCCATTTCTTATGTTGAAGTTTTATGAAGTAAATCCTGACCCTATGACTTTTGCTGATGGCTCCGTGTAGAGGGCTGAAATTGCTTGTAACATAAAACAGGTGATTCCAAATCGTTTTAATGTCACCAACATAAAATCCCACCCCACCCTATCAAATGTTTTCTCTGCGTCTATTGATAGTAAAATTATGGGCGTTTTATTTTTTTCCGTTTCTTCTAGTATTTAATTATTTTTCTGAGATTATTGATTGGAGACCTCTCTGGTATAAACCCTACTTGATCGTAATTGATTAGTTGTGGTATAACTCTTTTAAGCCTTTCTGCCAAAATGGAGGAAAAGATTTTGATATCTATGTTAATTAGAGAAATCGGTCTGTAGTTACTGATCAGCTTCACTGATCTGCTTTTGTGATAGGAACTATGTTTTCTCTCAGCAACTCTCCTGGACATCGTCCTGTTTTCATTATATAATTGGATGTATTAACCAATTCCCCTTTAAGTTGGTCTTTTTGTTAGTAAAGCCATCTGGGCCCGGCGTGGTTTTTAGTTTGAGCTTCTCTATCGCTCTACTGACCTCCATTTCTGTTATTGGCATGCTTATCTTTTGGAAAAATGCCTCTATGTCTTCTTCTTTACTGTATATTTCTTCAGGTAAATTATACAGGTCCTGGTAGAATTTTCTGAATGCTTCTCCTATTTCTTCTGGGGTCAACAAATACCCGTCTTTATCTTTCATTTTGTAGATTGTTCTTTTATGTTTTTCTTTTTCAGTTTGTTGGTCATTAATGCTTCCAGTTTGTTGCCCTTAAAGTACCATCTTGCTTCTAGGAATTCTAGCTGTTTAGCGGCCTTTTCCATTAACTGCACATTTATCTGTTGTTCTAATTCTGCATTTTTTCTTGCTGATTGTGTGGAAGGCGCTGCTTTGTTTAGTTTTGTTTTGATCGGTTAATGTTATGTATAAATTTGCTTTCTTTTTTTTCGGTGGCCACCATTTTTATTATCTGACCTCTAATTACACTTTTGTAAGCACACCAGACCATAATGTCTGGTGTGCCTTTATTTTTATTTTAATATCCTCTACATTTTTCTTTTTGTGCAGCATGCCATCCTTTAAGCGTCACTTTAAGCGCCAGTCTTTGCGAAAATTTTCGAAGGCATTTTTATATTCTAATATAATCGGACTGTGGTCTGACCATGTTATATCTTTTATCTCTATTTTTTTTGGTCAGATAGAGCATTGAGACATTTCCCAGTATAAGATCAATTCTAGAATAAGAATTGTAAGTTCTGGAATAACATGTAAAGTCCAAATCTGATGGATGGAATGTTCTCAGGTTGTAAGAGTTCAGAAGGTTTTGCATTCTGTTTCATCTGGTGGTCTTATTTATTCGATCCTTCTCATTCTTCCTATCATTTGCAGGATCTATTACACAGTTGGAGTCCTCCATTAATAGTACCACTCCTTGCTTAATCTGTTCTATCTTCTTAAATACTTTTGCGATATAATTTATTGTCGATTTATTTGCAGCACATATGTTGGCAGTTTTGAAGAGGTTGTTGTTAATTTCGCAAACCAAGATATCGGCCTTCTGAATCTAATATTTCATATTTTATATCCTGCGCTACATTTTTTTTCAAACAAGAATGCAATCCCTCTTTTTTTTTTTGTTATTATCCATAGAGGTAATTATAATTTTGGGGTATCTTACTGAACCTATTGTTTTTTTATTGCATTTTGTCCAATGTGTTTCCTGTAAGGCACAAATTTGTATCCTATTTTTTGTTAAATATTCCAAAATTATCAACGTTTTGCATGTGAATTGATCCCACAGGCATTTATTGATGCTAACTTAATTTAAACTTATCTGTCTTGGGGTTCTCTCACTCCATCTTTTATTATGTGGCTAAATTCATAGGAATAATTTGTGTTTGCTTCATGTGCTAAGTGGTTCCAGTGTTTAGGAATCCACTTAGAAACTAAGTTGTGTATGGCGCAAATCCCCTGCCATACCGTGTCTCGAGTATTGTCTATCATTACTCAAGTAGAAATCCCACTTGTCCTGTGGGAAAGGTGTGCTGAAGGTCTGTACTCTGGAGGGAGCCCCTTATTTTCCCTTTTTTTTCCATCTTTTATTTTCCTTAGTTTTTGTTTTTTTTAAGTGCAGTCTAACTTATTTACATTACGCCTCTTTTAACTTATACTTGCCCTCTTCTATCTTTTGTAAGTATTTATATTCTTCTGTGTAATTAGTTTTCCTTATGTTTCCTAATATTTGTCTCCACATTTGGAGTTTTTTTCTTTTTGATTTGTTTGTTCATTTTTAATTTTTCCCTTTTATTAGTGCTCTTATGGATTGTCTTATAAAAATTAAAATTACATGTGGTTTCATTTTCCCC